CCCCCCCCCCCCGCTGGGTCTGCTTGAAGCCATCTCCTGGGGAAACCTTCCCTGGCATCCACCACCCACTCAACCATGCGTCTTCCTGCTGGTGGTCTGTGTATTTTGGTTGTGCAATTTTCAGTTTGTGTGATTGTTTCCGGCTGACTTGAGTTGTGAGACTGTATGTATGTCCAGCTCCTGGGATGTGGTCTGGCACCTGACAGGTCTTCAGGACATCTCCGCTGGAAGCGTGGCTCACTTGCTCACTGGCTACCACTGAGTCAGTGACCTTGAACTGGCTCTGTCAGTGCCAGACTGGCGTGCTGTTCTGCTGACATGCTGCTGAAAGCAGTTTTAGGACATTTTGTTGTCTTGGTTGAAGAATTTACCAAAGTTTTAAGTGAGAGCTGTTTGTTAAGTGGAGTAATTAGACAAGGCATGTTAAGAATATGGGGTAGAGTAGTTTAACACACATGGGGGGGCCAGTTGTTGTGTAACTGGAATAGGCAAACACCGCCAAAGTCAGAGCCTCTTGCATGTAAAATTATTAGTTGAAATGTCTGTATCTCATTTTTTGCAACTGAGCACTCAGTGTACGAATTCAGATCTGCTTGATTTTCTTTAGCTTACTTGCTAAAAATTAATGTTTTCCTATGCAGACTGAAACAAAAGAAATTTATGCTCAAAGGCAGCTTCTGCTAAAAGACATAGATGTGCTAAGAGGCAGAGAAGCAGACCTGAAGCAAAGAATGGACGCTTTCGAATTGTGAGTAACACATGTGAATTCTGGATTTTCAGAGTGGCTGAAATTCGGAAGATATTAAGGGCGTTGAGTTCTTGTCAAGGTGATACTGCTTATCTGTAAAAGGCACAGGGTGAAAGAAACAATATTTAACTTTGACCTAGTAGGCATGAGGCTGCCAAGCCAAGTACCATTGTCAGGCTACAGTGAGACCAGGCAGACACGGGGCTCGCAGGGGCTGGGCCTCCTGTGCTCGGTGCTGCTGTCCAGTCCTGAGGGCCTGAAGGCAGGCAGCTGGCTGCCCGCATCGCCTGCTCACCGTCAGGGAAGGGTGAGCGCGGCCACTCTGGTCTCGTGCTGGGTGAAGTTAGTTCTCGTGGTCTGGGTAGGATTTGCTTTCTCTCGCACATGTTCTCTCCTTTGCATCTTCTCTGGGTTTAATCGTGAGTTCGCCAGCCTGTGCTTGTGATCTGCTGTGAATTGGTACTTGCTGATATATTAAAGAATTGTGTCCTCCTTCCTTCATGTTGTTTTCCCCCTTATATGGGCTTGATACATTTGATTCTGTCTACCTTACTGTCTGGGCAAAGTTGAAACAGTGACTAAGAGAGAAAAGAAAAAGCCAAATTTGGGCAGAGGCCATTTAATTCACTCCTGTCTCCGCACGTTTCCTGTTCCTCTTCCCTTTCGGCATATGAGCTGCATAGACATGCCTTTGCCACACTGGTGAGCCAGCAGAGGGAGCTGGCGCATCCGCCTTGCTCCTTCCCTGGAATGCTGGTCAGCAGCTCTGCCCCTGAGGCCCAGCCTAACTAACTGCGCCCTCTTCCTGGCTCCCGGTTGGTTTGATGAGTGATTTAGACCCTGATATGACGGCCATTCCATTCTTCAGTACTTGGAAGTTCTGTCTGTTTCTGCCTTGTGCACAATCTCACATGCTGACTTAAGTATTCAGTGGAGTATTTCACTTTCTGGGCTAATCGGTGCCATCCCACAGGTACAAACAATATTCTAGAAGTAGCAGGCACTTAAGTTCACCAACTTAAATTTAGTTTGTAGCATTGGATCTAATTTATTATTCTTTCTTCCCCAAATGACTATAGCCATCTGTCAGCTGTGACACTTACCTGGGCATCTTTTGTGAGAGCTCACTTTGGCCTTGGCACTTTCTCATTCACCCCAGCCAGGTGCCATCATATAGCTTCATCTGCTTGTTCAGAGTTAGCATACCCAGTTCAGTCTGTAAATGGAGGGAGGGCTGCTGACTCTTCAAGGCTCTTTCCATTACTTTCCAGCAGAGCGGTGGTCACGTAATGGTTTTCGTCTGTGCAGCTAAGAAACATGTCATTCTCTCCCCCCCCCCTCCAATTCATTGACTTCAGATGTTTTAGTTTTCTTCTTTGCTGTACATATATTTGCTAATTCCAGAGCCCAGAGAATGCAGGAAGAAAAAAACAAGAGCATGAATGATGCACTCAAGAGACGGGAACTGACTATCAAGAGCCTTGAGGAGACCTATGACCAAAAACTCAAAAATGAACTTCTAAGGTATTTTGAAAGTGGTGATGTGACAAATTGGTGGAAATGAGGCGATGGTGATGAAGTAGCCAAGAGTACCACTTTATGGCAAAACTTAGTGTTAAAAAATTATTTCATTGACACCCTGGCCTTTTCCATAGGTATTTGAATTAAGGTAAAGAATAGCACCCTCTCTTCTTACTGACAACTTCTCTATCCTTGGCGAGAGCCCGTGATTTGCTTTAATTTTCCGGGCCTTGGGTGGCCCCCTCAGCTTGCCTAGCTGATGCACTGTGAGGCCGGAGTCACCACTAAGCTGCCCTTCTCATGGCCCGCGCGTGCTGCCGAGACGGACTCGCTGGCCGCATAAGTCGTACTCTGCGCTTTTGGTGGCGACAGGGCTCGTCAGCCGCCCTTTGCGCCTTGCTCCAGACTTGTCACTGCTTCTCCGTTACATAGCAGCTGCAAAGATTTCTGGAGAGTGTTCCTGAAAAGGGTTTTACTGAGAAAGGAGCCTTTCCCCTTTTCCAAGTGTCATTTTTTAAGTGATTTTTATCTACTGATTACAAGTCAGCTCCTCTGAGATATCAGCTCCTCTAAGATAACAGCAAACGTTGATGTAGCCATTAAGCTTGAGGGATAAATGAAGAAGAGTGGATGTCAGCATTATGCGAGCTGTTTGGGGCCAGCTGTCCGGCTTTGGATATACGACTTTGCAGGTTTTGGGATTTGGAGGCTCCGCACCCCAGGAATACTGTTTTCCTTTCTCCTACATCTGAGCCAGAAAGCTCCCTATATAATGCAGCTGGCATTGGCCTTCACTACAGTGCTCAGCTCCTGAGGACAGAAGTGCTTTTATGTTTGTTTTAATTTTATTTTTGTATAGAACTGAGGTGTAGGCCAGTGGTGAGGGAGAGGAGGTGAGAAGATTCACCACAGACAGAGTGGGGAGCAGAACAGGCAGATTGACTGAAACGCACTGCGGAGGGGAGCAGCAGAAGACAGGAGGAGTCTGCTGCGCCACGTGGGTCACTCCCTGACCGGGATTGAACTCAGGCCATAGTGGTGATAGCGCTGAGATTCACCCCCTAGACCACCAGAGAAGCCCCAGAAGTTCTTATCCTAGTTGGGGGTGGGGAGTCTTGACTGGTAGCTCAGAAGCGACCAGGTATTATTTGAAACTTTGTTGTGTAAGTGTAACTCAGTGGTCTTTGCCGACACACACAGGTACAGCTGAGAAATGATGCTGCCGGCCACCTCACGATAAGGCTCTTCATGTTCTCTGACTGAGATTTGGGGCCCAGTTGACAGGATTGCAGCAGGGGTTCCCCAGACCTCTGACATTCAGGATGCGGGTCGCTGGCCCTCTGAGCCAGCCAGCCTGAGGTTGAGGCATTGTCCTGGTCAGTGCCCCAGGGTGCGGACAGTGACACGGAACTCATTCCGTTATTCTGATCCTCAGGTATCAGCTGGAGCTGAAGGAGGACTACATCAACAGAACTAACAGTCTGATTGAAAATGAAAGGAAGAATAAAGGTGATTCTTTGGGGGGGGCCTGTAACTTTCAGCTCTGACATAGGCGATTAACTTGCTGAGTGGGGTCTGTTCTGTTTTCTAAGAAATGTGCAATTACTTACACCTCATTGCTCATACAGAATTACTCTCTTTGGCCTTAATTTTACAAATCTTTCACTGCTTTTGCAAACCGCGTGTCTAACCTTTTGTGTATTCACAAATATCAGCAATTTTGTAGCAGGATTTTGTCCAACTTTCTTTCTGTATACCATGGTAAATCAACCTGTGACTGTCAGGAAGGCGGCAGCAGCTGAGCTACTATCAGTACAGTCCCTCTTCACCGTGAGAGGCTGCATTTTTGACTTGGGCAAAGTTTTATTTTAAGTTTTCTCCCCACTCTGTGACCTACTATCTTCTCTTCTAACATAGTTTTGTTTCAGGATATTTTCACTTGATCTATAACCTCCTAGGCTTTCACACGCATTAGCTGGAGGTGAGGAACGTGGGAGAATTTTCCAGTCTTCCAGGTGATTCACATTTCAGTGTATTCTAGGGCATCTCCACCTGTGTCAAGAAGTTCTACTTCTGGTAGAAATTTCAGGTGGATCCCTGGGAGTAAGCCAGGGCTGGCTTGACCTTGACCAGCCAGGTCACCCAGTATGTGGCTTTTCCTTTTGTGACTGTTTAGGAATGAATGCTTTTGTGTCAGCAAATTAGTTCTGATATATCTATACAGACTGGTAGGTGATGTGAAAATGACAAAAGAGTTACTACAGAATTCTAACAGGCCAGTTTTTGATCCTTAAAGAAATTCAGGTCTGTCTGCATGAGGGCCCTTCTGAGCAGATGGGGGGACAGTCGGAGCAGCAGGAAGATGTTTACACTGAGATAGCAGCTGCAAGGAAGCTCTGACCACCTGTTGGGTAACAGGGCTCTCCCCGCCTCCCGATACTCTGACCCCAGTATCTGCTATTTTAGATTATGAAATAATGGTCATTAGGTCTTGTATACTGGCCATCATTTGTTGTTGTTTGTTTTTTGTTTTCTGTTTTGGTTTGACCATGAATTGACTAGTATTCATTAGAAAAACATGATTAATTGGTTGACTTTTTCAGAAAAAGCTACATATTTGCAAGAGGAGCTCGCCTCTGTCAATTCGAAAAAGGAAGAATACAATTTATCTGTAAATCGTGTGAAGGAACTTGAGGTAATTGTTAAGCCTGGTGTTTTGAGGAAAATGTAAAAGAAGATATGAAATTTTAGTTTGAACTATATATACGCATCTGAAATCATTCTCTTGATATGTCTAGGCTGTTAGGTGACTAAAAGGTAACGGCTGGGTGTAAGTTAGTTCTTTCCGCCCGAGTCTCCAAGGGTAGCACAGGAAGGGCTTGTCCTTGGGGGCCTGGAGTCCTGCTGGAATGCTGCCTCCCGCCTTTGCTACTTGCGTGTCTTATGCCAAGTTCTGTGACCCTCGGATCCCTTCACCATAACCTTTGCAGTATCTCCCACATCCTGCGGTGGTTGAGGGGACTGATGAGTGAGCTGACTGATGTGGGTTTCTACCTCAGCGCTTTCTCCCTCCCCATCAGCAGCAGGTAAAATTCCTGTCTTAGGTTACATTGGGGTCTTCTGATTAAAACAAAGAGAGATGTTTTTCATAGGCCACCATTTCTTTCTTTTCATTGGTGTGCTCGCTACTTGAAGGACAGAGCTGGGACTTTAGATTCTCAAAATATATTCTGTACATAAAATGTATTTTTGCAGCTCTGACTGATTTGACAACTTTGTAGATTTCTGTAACATGAATTACACTAAGAAGAGGTAAGCACCCCACAGTTCCCTTGGCTTTTCACATTGAAAGATATATACTACTGTAGTCCGGAAAGTGGGGTGATAATCCGAACCAGAAGCACTTCCTTTGTAGGGCAGGATTCTGCTTCACCTGCCCTGACACTATGGCAAGATGCTCTGTTAGCATCTCGTTGTGGAACCCAGACTTTTGTCAGATGACCTTGAGTGAATTGTGGCCCTCAGCTGCTAGCTGTCTGCTAGTGGCCTGCTAGCTGTTACTTAAGCAGCGCCCTAAAGTCATTCGAACACAAATTTTCCTCTTTCACTTCCAGCTTGAGTTAGAGTCTGTCAAAGGCAAGTCCATGGCTCTGATGAAGCAAAACCACCTGCTGAATGAGAAAGTTAAAGAGATGAGTGACTATTCATCACTGAAAGAAGGGAAACTGGAGCTTCAGGCACAAAATAAATTACTGAAGCAACAACTGGAAGAGAGTAGAAATGAAAACTTGCAGCTCCTAAATCGTTAAGTCTTTTTTTTTTTTTCCCTGATTTGCGTGTTTTTGTGACAGCTGTTAGGTTTGAGTATGAATTTGTACCTGTGAGGAAAGCTGCAGTTGAGAAGGCTTTCTGACGTTGAGATTCTCAACATCTTGTTGTTTATAAACTGTATAGTCCTGCCTGTCAGATGCCAGACTCCCCTGTCCCTCTGACTGCCAGTGGGGTTTGGCCAGTGGGGGCCCCCACAAGCAAATGGAGAGATTAGCTGAGGTGAGGTCTAGGTGGTGATTGTCCTCTCTCAGTGGACTGGGCTGGCCCCACCCCCCTCACTGGAGCTCTGTGCCTCCCCAGCCCATTTTCTATTTCTGTAACTCACCCTGTCCCCACCCCTCGTGGCCCTGACACCAGGCTAGGGAGCCATAGTGGACTGTGGCTACCTGCATCACTTGCCCATTATTAGAGGGTCTTCCAGGGACCCGACTTGGGAATGCCCTTGGCTTCCTGTATGGACCCGGAAGGCCCTGCTGACACATGCTGAGGCCCGAATGACCCTTGGGGCCGTCTCCAGGTCTTGACAGAGGGCTCTTGTGCCTTGTGTGTGCTCTGGGTGGATGTTCAGGCTGACGTGAGGACCTGAGAGAATGCTTAAACTGGAGTAGGGTGCTGATGAGTAGCAAAGTTGTCCTCTAGTGCAGTCAGTGATTTTGTTCAGGAATTTATGAAGCAGGATTGCCGTTAGTCCATTTAATGAAAGTAATAATGGTGTGCCTATAAAGACAAGTAATAGTGGAAAACCTCTTCCGATGCCTTTGCTACGTGAAATGAGAGAACTTCTCTTTGGTATTGAGCAGGCTTTTTCTTTTTTCCATCTTCTTAGGCATTGCCATGCCATCTCCTGAACTGGTAATTTTCCAAAAAGAATTGAGGAAAGCAGAAAATGCTATAGCATATGAGCATAAGGAGTTCGAAACCCACAAGCAAGCTCTGCAAAAACAGCTGCAAAGTGAAGTGAGTATGGCCAGGTGTGAGGTGCTCCTGGTGTGAGGTGTTCCCGGTGGGAGGCAGCGCACGTAGATGTGTGGACCTGGTAGAAAACACGCCGACTTTGTTTTGATGTCGTCTGCATGGAGCGCATCCTTTCTCAGCCGAGTAAAAGGCAGGGGAGGGCAAAAGCACCTGCACATGCTCACCGTGGCGACTCTGAGGGTGTCTCAGGAGCCTCCCTGCCACATGCTCCAGAGAAGCTCCTCTTGGGGATGAATGAAAAAGGCAGTGGAGACTTGTTTCACGTCTGTTGTTTTATAGACAGTGGGTGGTGGGTGTGAAGCATGTCAGAATTACCAAACCGAGAAGCGTAAGCCCGTAAAAGAACTGTTTCTTCTCTGTGAAGTGAGCTGTGGTTGGTCTTGTATTGATTTCTTTCTCTGACCTCTTCAGATCGAGCATTCTGTACAGCTGAAGGCCCAGGTGCTAGAATACGATTCCTCAGTGAAGCGGTTGACTATGCAGGTGGCTGATTTAAAATTGCAACTGAGACAAACGCAGATAGGTCAGTGACTTTTTTTAACATGCAACGTGTGTGAAGCTTCTCAGATTTATGGAGATGAGTGTTCCTTATTCACTGACTGTTTAGTACTTCTCATTTAGAGGAAAGGCCATAGGACTCGTGTCACCTTAGAAGCGGAACTCTGTGTCCATGTGAGCAGTCCTCCAACCAAGCCATCAGCTAAGGTGACTTGCGTTTGCAGATACGCCGCAGCTTGGGGAAGCCTCCAACTCCAAATAAGAAAGGCGGCGGTGACAAGAAGTCCCCGCTTCATCCTGGGCTGACACGCTCACGTGTCACCTTGATAATCAGACCAGCGGCTTATTCAGGGGTCCTAGACAGGTGTGCAGATGTGTGGGTGAAGCGAAGGTGGCCTTAGCAAGGAGAGTCTTGCTGCTGGAGTCAGAAAACCGCATTTGTATGTGGACCCCGATTTTGGAAGTTGGCTGTTTGGCCTGGGCACATTCCTTTCATGTCCTTGAACCACAGATTCCTCATCTGTGCTGGGCACAGCTGCGGGCCGTGGTGAGCGGCCTGGGGTGTGCTCACGCAGGGAGCATCACTGCCGTGGTGTCGCTGCATGTCTTCACGGCAGAAGCATGTGGCCACTGGCCCTCCTTCGGGAGAGTGTCCTGTGGCCGAGGTGCCGCCTTGAGCTGCGCTGTGCCGGAGGCCACTTCTGAGCGTCAGCCTCCTCCTCAGTCTCGGGTTCCCTTCTGTCTGTGGTAGTCGCGCTTTGTTCTTATTTCTGTGCTCTCCTGATCTTCGTTTTCACGCAACAGTTCTGTTGGTCAGACTCCCACGACTGAAATCAGTGATCTTTTATAATGAAAAATAGTTTGAGCACATGCGCTGCCCATCGCGAACCTCTCGAAACCGAGCCATGGCGCAGCATCGCAGGAGAGCGGCTGCCGTGTGCACTGACTTTGCTCTAGGAAATTCCAGCAGCTCTGTGCCTTGCTGCCTGTTTGGTCTGGCCTCAGTCGGCCTCACTCTCCTCTGGGACAGGGGAGCAGTGAGTGTGAGCCCACCGTGTTGTTGTGACCGCACTTCTCACCCCCCGTGGAAACGCAGCCAGCGCTGGGGCCTGGAGTGCCAGGGCCTGGAGTTCCTGTAGGGAACATGTCCGTTACCTTGCAGCCAGACACCTGGCTCTCCGAGCTGGGTGGAACACCAGAAGATTGCGAATGGCTTTATATGAGCTCAGGGCAATGTTGTTTTTTTACATAGTATTTTATTTTTACATCATTTTGTGTATTTTTTCATCTCAGTTGTCATCCCCGTGGCTTCCCACCACCAAATCACCCTGTGTCAGGCCACGTTTTTAGCCAGATGAGTTCAGACTGGGTAGGCTTTGCATTTTCAGTCCTCAGAGCTTTTTGCTCTTTTTGCATTTTCAGTCCTCAGATGAAAGTGAAAAATAACCTGTTAGGAAGGCTGGCCCATGGAGCCGTCCTAGCATGTAGACACGCTCGGTAAATGTTGAGTACTGTCACTACTGCGTCAGAAACTGCTTAATGTGCAAGTTTGCCATTTCATGTAAGAAGTACTCAGTGCATCTCTGCCTCTTCCTCCCTCCCCCCAACGCCATGATAACCCCAGCCCTGGAGAATGAAGTCTACCGCAACTCCAAGCAGCCCTTCCTGGATCACTCCGTTAGTGCGTTCACGAGTAGCAAGATGGTGCCTCATGAACATGATATAAGTGGAGATTTCTTGAAAACTTCTCTGGACCAGGAAAGCCTGATGGTGAATGCAGTCTCACCAAGGAGTACAAGTTACCCAAATGCCAACACGGAGGGCAGTTCCCCTGATTCGGACCTGGAGTTTGTCACCAGCACCAAGGCTAAGATGAAGGAACTCGACCAGGAAGCTGAGCGGTTGGGGAAAGCCTTCCAGAGTTACCGCCAGAGAATCAGCCGGCAACCCACCAGTCGTAGTAGTAGCCTGGCAGCGGCCAAAAGCCCGTCACCCCTGCAATTGCTAAGAACTCTCAGGAACATCACTTCAGGTGCTCCTGAAAGATGTGTTTTGGCAGAAGACAGGGTGGTCTCCGAACTGCCTCCAGAGGACACCGATGTCATGCTTGGGGAGGACAAGAGCGAGGTGTCAGAAGTGCTGATGGGCAGCGTGGCCTCGCAGCCCAGAAGCGCCTCCTCCAGACGCCTCTCTTCCACTCCCCTCCCAAAGGCAAGGAGGAGCCTTGACGGTGACGTGTATCCCGAAGGTGAGCTGCTGCGGAAAGGGTGCCGGGTGTCTGGCACCCGGCGAGGGGTGGGTCTGGTCCTCAGTGGGCCTGTGGCCTGAGTCAGCACTGGCCCTGGGCAGCAGGAAGCAGTGGGCCAGACCTGGGAAGGCCTGGCCCCGGTGTATTCTCTCTGGGTGGGCGCAGGGATGGGGGGAGGGAAGCACCGATGGTGTCAAGTTCCCGCATTTGGCTGCGCACAGAGGTGTGTTCAGAGAGGCCATGGCTTTTCTTCACTGCTGATTGTTAGTGTGGACCTGGGTGCTCGCACAGCACTCTCACTCCGTGCTGGCACTGTTCCTCTGTGGGACTTTCACCCATCCTGCTCAGCTTTTTACAAGGCTAATAGAATTTCTCTTCGAAGTAGCAGGAGCCTTCAGAAGCCACGTTGCTGTCATCTGCGTGCCATCGCTGCTGTTCTCACCCTGGCTCTTTGTGCCCTTAGGTTTGGTCCGATCCCATGTTGCATCCCCCACTCCTGGCTCCAACAGGACGACCCCGCCGTCACCAGATGAGTCCAGGCACAGCCCCTCCATCAACCTGCTGTCCAGCGCTCTGGAGCTGAAGGCCAGGTGAGCCCAGCCCAGCCCAGCCCACTCGTCGCTGTGTGGGCAATACTTGTTTGGTGTCCTCAGGGCAGTAAAGAATTTCAGTCAGATGAGAGGATTGGGGTCTTTGAGAATCACCTGAATTACATGGGGAGAAAAGATTCCCTTTAGCAAATAAGTAATTCGTGTTTGCTTGAACTTGATACATAGAAATATGCGCTATGGAATCAGTAAACATCTTTATAGCTCGTGAGTAGACGTGGTTCCTAAAGAGAAAACTCCCAACTTACAAAGTCTATAAAAGCAAGTTTTATAGAAGCAAGTAAATTTCAGTTTAAACCTGGAATAGTTTCACATGTTGGTAAAAAGTCCGTTAAAGACATTTTGGTATTTAAATAGGATGAATAAGGCTCTGATCTGTATGTCACTGACATGAATTTTAAAATGGCGGTGGGGTTTTGAGTGTGATCGCTGAAGCAGGGTGGATGAATGTGTTCAGAGCGCGACCCCGGGTCACCCGGCCTGGGATCCAGTCACGCACGCGAGCACGGCCCGGGCCTGGTCCTGTGGGGGAAGACTGCGGCGCCTCGCTTCCCGGCTGTCTGCTGTATGCGGGTACACTGCCCCTGTACCCCTGTGCTCCGAGAGGGAGAAAATCTGGGGCTCGCCCTTCCGTGCAGTAAAGGCTAGAGGAAAGCAGGCATGTGCTGCCCAGCTTGGGCCACCGCCCTGTGCAGTGTTTGTTTTGTTCAGAGGCGTTTTGTGGATCTTGAAGATCAACCCCCCGGGACTCGTTTCATGAGCTAAGGCGGAGAGGGCCCGCTTTGCACAGCATGGTTCGGGGAACAGTGGCTGGGGCAATGCTCCTCCCACCTGTAGCCAGGCCTGGGGTGGTGAGTGCCTGTGGCATGACACAGCTCTGTCTCAGAGCCAAAGAAAAGTCAGTTTTCTGAAGCATTTTTTTCAAGTCCTCACCCTATGCTCTCGGGTTTTACTTTTTTTTTTTTTTATTGAGGTAATAATTGGTTTACGTCACTGAGTTTAACTTTACTACCATTACATTCATGAATTTTATTCTTCCATTCCAGTATTTATCCAAGACAAACCGAGCCTCAAGACAGAAGTGAATTTTCAAATCCAGACAAATTGGCTTTTAAGGACAATGAGGAATTTGAATTGGCTTTTGACTGTAAGTTCAAATATAAGTACTGATTTTTATAGTTGCTAATGTAGAAAGCCTAGTTTTCATGAAACAGCCATTACTATGAAAAGTAAAGCCTTCTGAATTGGGACATTTGTATTTCATGATAAAACCACAGACATACCGGTTGCCTTATTTTCATACCATACAGATTTTCAGAGGTGTGTCTGAATTTCTGTTTAAACAATTTTGGGATAAGTAATCATTTAAAACTTGCTGTGAAGCTCATCGGGGTTCCTTGCAACTTCATCTCCCAAGGTTGGGATTGCCTCAAATTTAAAGCAATGTTCTTTTTTTTTTTCCTGTTTCTGGAATACTAAGGTGGTAAGCTTTTGTTCTTAAGTTACACTGATCCTGTCGACTGCCTCAGGTGGAGTAACCCACCCCTCCTGGAAGAGGGGCAGTGGGAGACCCCAGCTGGGCCTAGAAGCTGTCCTCCGGGCTACGGCGCGGCTCGGCGTGCCCACCTCCAGCCACTTACATGTAAAATGGGTGGGACGACCAGCTGAGGGTCCTGTAGCTCGAGAAGTCCTTGTATTTGTACTCAACTCGCTGTTTAGCCTGGTGATCTTCACCAACTCTGAAAGAACAGCCTTTGAAGTTACATGAGACTCTAAATTATTAGTAATGAACTTATTGATGTTTAAATAGAAGTCAAACGATTGCCACCAGCCAGGTGAATTCTTCTGTCACTAAATTTTTCCTATTGGGTAACAAATCTAATCTGTAAACCTACTTCTTTAGAGTGCAAGAACATTCTATCAAGTCTGAGGACACACCACTGGCAGCTGTGGTGCTTGCCATAGGGAAGGACCGGCTCGGCCGCTGTGGTGTGGGGTCCTGCCATCCGTCACCCTCACGTGGGAGCACGCCTCAGTCTTGCTGCCTGGGCTGGGGGCTCACGGGCCCCTGTTTGTTCTCGTGCAGATGCAGGGAGCGTGCCGAGGCAGTTTGAGGTGGATAGGCTCCAGCCCGCTGGGGACATGCCTCAGGCAGATGCTGCCCCTGTCACTGCTGCGGCCGCTAGCACGTCTGCCTCCTGTCACTATGCAAGTAAGTTTGTCCTTAATAAATAGCATGGCCACCTCCTGAATGCCAGCTTGTGTGTTCGCTCTGTGAATCATGTCATGGTCACTGATGGGCTTAGTGTGAGCATAGAGTATTCGAAGGCTCACTGGGGTGTTGTCATCATTAAAGACACTTGCCGAAGTAACTCAAAGTGAACACGGTGCTGAGGCAAAAACTCTGGGAAGGAGAGGTTTGTCGTTTCATTTTCCTGTTCCATTTGCTTTAAAGGGTGTTTTTTTTTTTTTATTTTTTATTTTTATTTTTTTATTTTTTTAAAGATGTATGTATTTGTGCATACAGAACTGGGGTACAGGCCAGAGGCTCAGGGGCGGTGAGAGGCTTCACCAGAGACAGAGCGGGGAGCAGAACAGGCAGATCGACGAAGTACACTGCTGAGGGGAGCAGCGGGCGGGTCAGGAGAGGTCTGCCGCGCCATGTGGTCACCTCCGGGGCAGGCAGGAATCGAACTCATGCGGAAGCAGGTTTAGATTCTCAGTGCTGTGCTTTAACCCGCTGTGCCACCAGGGAGGGCCTAAAGGGTGTTTTATAGTTGCCTGGGGTCTGACAGAACAGTGACCTTTTGTTCAAGATACTTCTGTAAAAGCGACTCCGGAGAACCTTAGCATCTGAGAGGACATGAGGGAAAATGGAAACAACAACGGATGCTCACTGTACAACTTCCAACGTGTTGAGACATGCTCTTGTTTTTTTGTCTCTTTGCTTTCTTTTCCTTAAAGCATTAGGACAGGAAAACCTTTATGTTTCAGGTTTGTGTTTTTTAAGATGACACTGGAAGAAACTGATCTTCAGACTTCCTTTACCTGGCTTGCTTACTCTTTCCTCTTACCTCTCCAGATGCCCGCTTTCGGTGTGGAGGTAGGGAGGGGAGCGGTGGGGGATGCAAGCCTCATTCCAGGGCTCTGGAATGAGGACCATAGTGTTTGTGCCTCAGAGGTGGAAGGAAATCCCTCAAGTACAATTCCCGTTAGCCCCTCCTAAACACTGGGAAAACATCCTCTACAAAGCCTCTTGTGGGTGTTTAAGTCATAGAACCCAGAATATGAAGGACCCAGAATATGAAGAAATGCTAAAAGAAGCTAGAAATTTTGCTGATTCCGAGTAAATTTGCTTTGAAAAGCAGTAAAACTTCCAAGATGCTTTCCTATGCTTGGCACTTTCCCGGGCTGGCTTTACAGCATTGAGCTGACCTGATCCCAGTGGGGACAGGTATTTTGGCGGGGGGTGGGAGGGGAGGGGGGCGGCATAGTGACCCCTGCTCTGGTAGCAGTCGTAGAGCCCGAGTAAGTAGGGTAAAGCTACGTCTTCCAGTTCGGGAAGCCAGGGGAGCAGAGAGTAGGTTCTTATAATGGCTTTCAGAATAATTCCTAAATGGTATTTTACATTTTGACCATAGAGAAATTGTCTTATAGTCAACATTTCCACGTCATCGTCTGGGTGCAAAGGGAAATGAAACTGGCCGAAACTTTCTATATTTGAGGGACCCAGTGAAAGTGCTGCTTTCGTTTTTGCTCTGACACCCAAAGAGGTCTCTGCAGCTAGAGTGGAGCCCACAACAAGGGAGGACCCTCCCACCTTGATTTTCTGCAGTCGGACTCAGAGTGCTGCTCTGCGCCAGGCAGCAGCGGCCTTCGGAGAGCCCCTCCTTGCAGCAAGGAGGGGTGCGCTTCTGCTTGTGGTCCCGAGCAGCTGCCTTCTGTGGTGTTTGAATTTTATGACCAGGATCGACATTCAGAGAATAACGAGCCCTGTGCGGCCTGCTGTGACTTAGAACAGGGCACAGCCAAAGGCCCCTGCTGAACCTGTGAGTCACCCCTGGCACTGCCAAGGGGAGGGGCTGAGGTTCCAGGCCACAGCTAGAGGAGAGATGGCAGCAAGCCTTGTGGGATCGAGGCTAGTCCAATCTGCAGGGCCCCGGCTCGGGCCCAGGGCTGTGGGGACTAGAGTGACGCACCGTGTGGGCCTGGCCCAGCAACTGCTATGGTACGAAGAACCCAGAGGCACAGCACGCTGCGCAGGGCCAGGGCGGGGAGCCTGTCACGTTAGGAGTGAGGAGGCCCACAGAGCAGTGGCGCTTCTGTGTGGTCAAATGGGTTTCATGGAGGGGGACGGGAGGGCGTGCCTTCTGGAGACAGAGGAAGCAAGGCCCAGAGCCGTATCCAGGTAATCGGCACTGTGCCCAGATGGACACTCATGACGTGGAAGTTAGGGTGCTGTTGGGAGTCACCCTGACAAGGCAACTGGCCGGAACCTGGGCCACATGGATTTGCGCCCTTCCAGAGCAGAGCCAGCGCCTAGCAAGCCCGGGTCTTCTCTGGGCCCACAGTTGGTGCTGAAGGTGAGGGAGGTGGGTTGCTAGGGGGCAGAGATTGAGTGGGTGGGCGGGGGTATCGGCAAGGAGGTTAGTGTGGCTGTGCAGGTAAGTGGGCACCGGGAGCCGAACTGCAGCAGCGCTGCCAGCAGCTCATGGCAGCGGAGCAGGAGCAGGCCCCAGGTGCACCAGTGGCCTAGTGCACACGGTGCAGAGAGCTTGATGACAGGGAGGGAAGTGACAACTGCAGGTAGGAAGCCTGCCCGTGGGGTGAGGGCAGGGAACCCACCCGGCATGGGGGGGAGGGGCTGGGGAGGAATCTGCCTGAGAAGCGCCTTGCGCGTGATCAGGAAGGAGGTCAAACTCAGCCCTAGTGAGGGAGCAGCCTGGAGGGCATGGGGAGGAGCCGGGGATGGCTCGGGGCTCAGAGACTCGGGCGCCTGTGAGGGAAGAGAAGAGCTCGGAACACACTGTGAGGAGAGGGCACCAATGGTTAGGCGGCAGGCCTCGAGAAGGGGAGCCAGGCTCCCCAGAAAAACAGGTCTTGCCTTAGTAAAGGGTGCAGGGCAGGGTGGGGGGAGACGGGGTGTGAGAGGGTGACCTGGAGGAGGGGGCTGGAGCTGCTTGCATTGAGGGGGCTTGTATATGCCTCAGTGACGCAGCAGTTGCTTGGGGTGGGAATGGGAGTGGGGGGCCCGGATTGGACGGCAGAGTCGGGTAAGCATCCAGAGCCGCTTGAGCCTTGCCCAGGACCCACATGCCTCTGAAAAATCTCACTGGAAGCTACTCGTTCTTCATTTCCTACCTTACTAGACACGGTTGAGAAACAAGTTGAGGAGCAGAAGGAAGAAGACAACATATGGGAACAGAAAGTGAAGGAACGAAGGCAGAGAGAAGAGAAATGGCATAGTGAGCAGCAGGAAGCTCTAGAAAGGGAAAGAAGAGAACTAGAAAAACTGGATCAAGAACGGGTAATGTGAACAAGTGAATTCTCAGTGCTGGTTGCTCCACCCTCGCTGGGCACCGTGCTCTTGGGGAGGGGGTCCTTAGTGTACCCTGAGCCAGAGGCGGCTCCTGGTGCCCGCCCCCCCAGGTCCCCTCCGGCCTCCTCTGACTGGTTCAGTGCCCAAACAGGTGCTCACACTGCACTTCCCCTCTGTGGCTCGCGTAAATGAGCCTTCCGTGGGCATGTTCCTCGCTCTTCTGTAGCCCAGGATGCAGGGTGGGGGGCCCCTTCCTTCATGGCGGGGAAGGGGCCGCTGCCGCTTTAGATGGGCACAGAGCTCCCTGGTGCGGCTTGCATGAAAAGGATGTGAATTAGGCTCCACGCGTTTCTTAAACACTTAAAGGTTTTAAAAATGGACTTGTGTGTCTCCTGTTTGGGCACCTCCTGTTTTCATAGAGGATGACTGAAGACTCCTTGAAGATTGAAATGGAAAAGGAATTAGAAGTGAAAGATAAATCTGCCTGCAGTGAAAACCTTCTGGAGAAATATATGAAAATCATCAGAAAGGGCCAGGGCCAGGCGACGGCGGGCCAGGTGCCATGCTGGGGACAGGCTATCCGCGGTGGGGGTTCAAGGGCCTGTGGTGTACTTGACACCCTCGGGGCAGAGCTCTGTCTTCTCCACTGGAGACAGAATGACGAGAGCGTGGAAAAGCCAAAGTTCAGGTGGAGCCTTGGTTCACTTAACTGTATTAAACTCCTGATGAAATTTCATCACTTTTCTGGAGTAAAAGATTGAAGAGATTGCAGAAGTTTGTAGAAGTTGGGATGTCTCTATTTTAAGAGCGAGTGAGAGATAATGAAACATGCCTGTCAATGAGTGACGGATGCGTCGGTCCATTCAGGCATCTGGGGCACTGTGGGTGTGGAGATGGCACTGCACCACCTGCTTGGATGTTCTTGCCAGGTTTTGTAGGCTTTTTAAGTCACAGATATGGTTCCAAAGTAGTTCTGAGAAACTCACAGATCGGCTACTGAGACTCACATCTAATTTCAAAACTCCTTCCCCCATCTCAGCACTTAGGAAAGACCATCGGAGACGTCTCACAAGCGGACACACTGCCGTCCAGCGAGAAGGACGAGAGGTACGGCATCCCCAGCCTGTGCGCTGGCAGGGGGCGTTGCGGCGGGTCTGGTCAGCCAGGGGCGACGCCCAGCTCCTGAGGGTCATGCACAAGAGACTGCTGACTCAGTCGAAGTTAGTGATTTCAGAAAAAGTTTTCAACTTCTGAAATGGCTTCTGGTATGAATTGTAAGCAAGGGCAAAATCCCCACGGGGAAGGAAAGAGAATTTTGTAGAAATAGCTGAATAGGCTTGACAAGAACTCGCTTTTTTTTTTTTTTTTTTGGACTTAACAAAATTTCTAAATGTGTGTCTTTACCTAACTCAGTGCCAGAGGCTCCTCTCAGGAAGAAGCAGATGACTTCTGGTGACTGTGGGTGACCCCAGCTTCACGTAATGTAACCACAGGGCTGAGTGCTCTGCAGTAAGACAAAGTTCTCAATAAAAACTTTGTGTAACCTATGGCTTAATGTCATGATTTTGTTTGGGTTATAATGTATGAATTAAAAATAATCTCCATGGGTAACACCCTGGCATTTCTCACTGAGCCTTTTCACTGGGTTAGAATGCGCTGTCTTTTTTTTTTTTTTTTTTTTTTTAATATTTATTCAGACAGAACTGGGGCATAGACCAGAGGTGCAGGGGCAGTGAGAGGATTCACCAGGGACAGAGCAGGGAGAAGAACAGGCTGATCAAGGAAGCACACTGCTGAGGGGAGCAGTGGGGAGACAGAGGTGTGCCATGCCATGTGGGTCACTCCCTGGCTGGGGACCGAACTCATGTTTCAGTGGCTGTGGACAGCTTCACAGTGCTGCGCTTTAGCCCGTTGCGCCACCAGGGAGGGCCTCTTGGCCCATTTTTATCTGAAAACTCATCTTTTGGGCCCTATTGCATTTTGCAGGTTTCAGCTGGAGCTGTCAGACAGGAGGCAGTCTTCTGGAATACTCTCCCCTGGTTGCTCCTAGCACGTAAAGATGCAGGCTTTCCCAGTCTAGCTCCAGGGATAGTGAGCGTTGCCTCTGGCTTTACTTTGGACGTCTTTTTCTTGAGGATCAACCAGACCTTTCTAAGATAGCGATGAAAAGCAAAGGTCGCATTCAGTGAGCTCTTAGTATGTGCCGGGTATAATTGTAAGCCTTCATCTGTATTAACTCACTTCATGGTCTTACCAGCCATGTGGAAGGTAGGTACTATGACATTTTCAAATACACCACAGAAGCCCTCGCACCCCCATTTACGGCCCCTCCCCAACTTGGGCGGCGGATCGGTCATCTCCTGCTCCCAACCCTGCTGGATGATTTTTGTCTATTTCTCCGGAGGATTATTCACTGTAAGGAGAGCTACAGAGGTTCGTGGCCTGACTGAGGTCTGGTGGCCATCAGGTGCCAAGGTGTAGTGACCAGTACCGCCTCAGGTCGGGCTAGTCTGCAGTGGCTCAGGTGGAGGATGCCCTGGAACTTGTCTGGGTCACCTGCTCCATGTCCCTCTCCACAGTGATCTCTAGGGAGCACACATCAAGCAAACCAAGGTAACGCAACTCTAGTGCAGCGCCAGCATGACTCCCGAAGAGCCTTCATCCTCGCTTCTGTTGTTTTTTGCACACCTTGGAAGAGCGCCTTAATGGCCCCGCCGTTGGGGTCTCCAGAGCCTGCACGGAGAACCATTCTGAAGGTGACAGTCATCCCGGTTTGGTACTTTTAAATATTTTCTCCTTACTGAAATTCTCAATGGAGCATTCTCCTGACCTCAGTGCACATCTGCGTGATCATTATTCTGACCTCCTTTAGGTAATTTGGTTTGTTAAGGTCGGTCTGTGTGCAGTTTCATCCTACTCTTCAGCCGGGGATGTATACCACTGTTCCTTTTCCTTGACTTGCTATTTCTGGGCATCTAAAAGAGCAGCCTCCATTTGACAGTGTTCTTGCGTAGGAGATGAACCTCATCCGTCATTCTGGCCCAAGGTCTTGTTGCCTCTCAAACCTTTGTGACTTTCCCAGCTGCCGCCTTGGTGCTTCCTTGCAGCCGCGGTGCATCATGGTTGGCACCATGATGCAGCTGACTGGAGTCCAGACCCTCGGACGGCAGCTGGGAATCTTCCTGGGACAGGCAGGAAGGTGGGCGATTGGCTACCTCCCTCTGCATGTGACCAGGGGTACAGTTGTGGAGGGAGCTCCTGTGGGTACCAAACTCTGTTTGCTAGCCCACGGACTAGAGGCTGTGAGCCCTGTCGGCTTTCAGCACCAGGTGATCGTGGGTGGCAGCCTCGAAAGCTGGTGTGCCACGACTGTGGACACTCCTCTTCCAGGGAGAGGCTCAAAGGCCGACCTAGCCTGGGTGATTGCAGCCCTAGGTTATGGGAAACTAGAAGCCTAGTGCCAGGAAGCAGCTGGTAAAGTCTGCAAAATACCCCTCAGGGAAAAACTGGGAACTGGGTCTGTTGTTCCCTCTGCCCTGAGCCCAGGGGGAAGGGCTTTTCAGAAGTGCTGGTGTGTGCCCTGACCCGGGACTCGGGAGCGCCAGCCCACGACTGCAGCCCTCGTGCCCTGGCACAGGTCTGTGGATGACTCCTGGGAGATGCTGGGTATTAGGAATGGAGGCAGTGTGAACGCTGGCCTTGCCCGACTGAGAGGGGAGCAGCGAGCCCCCAGACGTGTGCTCAGTTAGCAGTCTTTCCGGCAGCAGTTTTTAAATATATGCTAATAGACCCTTTCGAGGAAAGGCAAAGGCGATGAGTCCTGTAGAGCTGTTTAAGAGCTGGCTTTTTTTTTTGTTTCTAAAGATTTATGTGAACAGAACTGGGGTACAGGCTAGAGGTGTGGGGGCTGAGAGGACAGACACACAGTATGGAGCAGAACAGGAAGAATGACAAAGTACACTGCCGCGGGGAGCAGCGGGACGGTCAGGGGAGGTCTGCCCCACCATGTGGGTCACTCCCTGGCGGGGGATCCAACTCGTGCTGCAGTGGCTTCAGAGAGCTTCATGATGCGGCGCTTTAAACTGTTGCGCCACCAGGGAGAGCCCAAGAACTGGCTTTGAATCCATCCCTTTGGAAGGATTCCTGCAAGTTAAGGTGGTAGATGTGGGGTCCAAATCTTTCATCCTACTGGGAGAACGTGGGGGTTGGGCATTCGCTCCCCAATGGTATGACAGCATTTTCCCCACCCAGGTCTTGTTTCCTGCTGCATAATTGTTGAGCTAGTTTTGGATTTCTTTCAGAGGGAATGACTCAGTGTAGAATGGCACATTTGCGTTCAAGAGTCTATGCTGCCAACTTGGGCCACAACCCTCAGGTAACATCTTTTTTTTTGTTCAAGATTTATTGTTGCATAGAAGAGCTGGGGTGTAGACCACAGGTGCAGGATGTGAGAGGATTCACCAGAGACAGTGGGGAGCAGAGCAGGTGGATCTACTGAAATTCACTGCCGAGGGGAGCAGCGGGGAGCCGAGAGGGGTCTGCTGAGCCCTGTGGGTCACTCCCTGGCCGGGGATGGAACTCACGCTGCAGTGTCTGTGGCCAGCTTCACAGTGCTGTGCTGTAACCCCTTGCACCACAAGAGTGGACCCTCTCAGGTAATCTCTTAGTACTTACTCCTACACTCCATTATTTTAACCTACCTTGTACTTTTAAAGGCCTGCCTTCTGTCACTCATTGTATACTTCGTTTTCCACCTTGGGATGTGGTAGCTTTGTTCATTTACTTTTTCCAGTCAACATTACTTCTTAGTAGTGTCTTAATAGTCCACATTCTGGCAGAGCCCATTTGCGTGAGAGTGAGTCCTGGTATGTGGCACATCAGATGGCCTTGTCAGCTGAGTGCCCCCACAGGGGCAGGAGACTGGCCTGGAGGCCTGCTCCCGCCCACCAGCCCCCTGTGCCCCAGGTGGGTCTCAGGCACAGTCAGTCACACATCAACGGGCACGAGAGACTGGGGCTGGTGGGAAAGAGTACTCTTTGCCAGGCCAGTCTTGGCTCTTTTGGTATATTTGTTTCTGCAAAACTTTCCATAGTTTTATTGATCCAAATACTCATGAGCTAAGTTGCCCTAATACTTTTTCCGAACATCTGAGGACAATTTAGCCCTGTACAAGCTAAAGATGTCGCATGTAGGAAAAAACACAAAGTAGAGTGCCTCTTTTAAATCTTACAGCATTGCCAATTTTGCTTCACTGTGGACTCTGGCCCCATCATCAGTGTACGTGAAGGTATTTTACTTGGTTTGTAAACAGGCAGGTAGGTCCTCTCCTGTTCTCTCTCTCAAGCCAGGAGTTGGAAGGTCTCAGAGGAAGGGAGTGCTTGCTATCCCACCTAGAGGCACCTGCCCTTGGTGGCAGGCACCACCCTGGTCTGGAGCGTGCCTGTGATCTCCTGTGGGTATGGGTCGCACGCAGCATGCAATTTAAGAATAGTTGCCTGTGTAAGGGAAGGTGTTAAGCAGTGTGAGGAGCACCGGGCTAACAGCATGGCTGATTCTCCCTGCCAGGTGTGTGGATGCATGTGATCCCATCAGCACTTCCCTCAGCAGGACACGCCAGTGACAGAAGCGGCTCTTCACAGCAAAGGCTTAAATCCAGAGTGCCACAGGCGTCGTCTTGCTGACGGGTAAGTAGCTTACACACTGAAATGAGACCCCGCCTCACAAAGTCCTGCTGCATTTGAGACTCTCAGAGCTAGGTATTTCCGTTAACATTCCTGAATTCCTCTTTCTTTGGGCTTGTTAATAGCCAGTGGCATATGGACCCTGAGGAAGACATCTGTTTTGACATTCCCCAAACTTAAAAATGGTATCCCGTGGTATGTTGCTTTCATTTGAGGAATCTGGTCAAAACTTCTGTATTTTTCACAAAAAAACTATATAAAGCACTCTGGCATTTTTGTATAAAATGTAGCCCCATGGAGCACAACATTTTCTCAAAGGTTCTTGCTTAATAACACTTGACAACACTGGGACTTGATTTCCATTCAAAGACATGACCTTGAGTAGACATTTAAAAATGACACCATACTGAGGACAGAGAAAGATAGTATTTATGTAGGGTAAGAAGCAAGTGAATGAAGCTATAATTTTATTTCATTACTCTTAGTACATCCACAACTATTTCCACCTAAATAGATCTTTAAAATAAGCATACACAAGTATTGACTATTATCTACAAATATTTATTGTAACACTTGAATAGAACTACAGGAAGCCCTTGGCACTGATAGAAAATATTGATTCACTGTTAGGTTACAAAAATTTATACATAGCAAAATTTAATGCTCTTTACATAAAAAATATTAGACTACTTAAACAAAACTCTCAGAAATTCTTGGTAATTGCTACCAGAATTAGAAAAGTAAAATTAGGCTTAAGACACTGCGTCTTCTAGAACACTGGACTCTAACAGCACCTCCACTGCTGGAAAAAAAAAGTTGTCAGTCATGCAACAGGAAAATAAAACACTAAGCTAAATCTGGAACAACTGTTCTACATAGAAGAGCTTTTCCCAATTAAAAATAAAAGTCATTTTTAGGCATTAACAACAGAATCCAAATGAATTATACTTGATGTTTGATTTTAATAGCATCTTGATAAAGGTATGCTTCCTTTCATTTTAATACATTTCAGCACATGTATGTGTTTTAAAATCCAGGAAACAGCCAAACCACAAGTTAATTCTTAACATGAATATACATAGTTAACCCTATATTATGCAGCCCCTTTTAGAAAGCACTGATGCACCCAACAGTTACATGTATCATTTCATAAAGAACACAAAGTTTACCATCACTAATACCCAATACCTATAGTCACTTAATGCTGTGAAACACAATGATTCAGAAGGCAAGTTTCATTTGAAAAATGGCTTCAACTCAAGCAGGTTTTTTTTGTTTTTTTGTTTTTTTTTGCTGAACATTGAACTTTATTATCCCAAGGAAACTCAGATAAAGGTGAAATAAATACCCAACTCTAAGTATTCAAGTCTATAAAAGTAGGAGGTTTGTGGTCTGTTTGCAATTAGGTTTTAGATTGTTGGTATGAAACTGTAAACTCACTTATTCAGACCACGTAGAAATAGTTTAGAATGGTGATCATTTTAATAAGGTAACACTTCTTAAGAAAAAGTTTGTGGAATAAAATTCTATGAAGGAAGTGGGGTTTCCCATGTTGTATAATTTGTTAGAAATTTAAAGCAAGTATCCATTAAGGCAGAGCTGACACTTCCCCCCCTCAAGAATGACTTTTAAAAATGAAATCTATTACAAAATTGATTCAGGAGAGCTTGCCGGTGAGTTAGAACCCAGCTCCTGGCGTCGTCATGGCAGAGTTAGAGTAGCTCGTGTTAGCATGAGTGGGGACTTCTGTTAGGTCAGGAAGCTAATGTGTCCTGGACTTAACGGGGGAGAGTCAGCTAATTAAAGTCAATTGTAAGAATCACATTTGAATAAATGTCACTGCACTTTACTCCCTGCATTGGTGTAGGGGCGCTTAGGCCCGTGCCCCCGATGCCCCGTCGGCGGCAGTAGGACTGCCGTTACAGTGAAGGGGCTGGCTGAGAAGGTGAGTGATCAAAGTGTTGCCTTTTAAAATGGCTGACGGGAAACCTCCGATAGCTGTTCTAAAGAGAAAAGATTTACCCACTGGAAGATTTTCCTAGAAATACATCCCAGCAGCTTGAGACAGGGAAGTGTTTGTACGTCTACGTGCGTTTGTGTGGTGGGTGCACACCTGTACTGCCGAGCAGTTGCCTGATGGGTTGTCAGAGCTGCAAAGTCGTCGGCTGAAAGGCTCTGGCAACCACTTATGTGTAAGAATTGAGCTGTTCTTTGGACCGAGACTGGATGTCTTGCAGTTCCTGTTCTTCCTTTGCTTTGATATCCTGGTAAGCCTGCATTTTGCTTGCATCCTTTAAGTAAGCCCAGTTAGAAGACAGTATCATGAGGAAGTGGATCTGGAAGAGAAGGGTGAGCACGAGGGCTAGTGAGCACGTCAGTAAGCAAGCGGCCAGTCAGATTAGCTGGGCTTTACTTTAAGAGGGGAGAGGTTACGCTGTATTAATAATACTCACGCTGCTCTCAGAGGTGTGGGGCCGACAGCATGCTCTACTAGCGTGCTAGCATTAAAATGAAAAGGCTGAGGGAGAGTTAGTGCACGCGCATCATGGACTTGAGGAAATGGCCAACATATTGTTAAGAAAAAGCAAACACGAAACAGGAGCAGGCGTCTTTACCATTTCGAGAGTAATTTAAAGACTAGTTCAGAAGCGCGTTGGCTGTTTTGTTTAGTAAGTGCAGTGCAAACAGCTTTCCTATATGTGGAGAAGAATCAGCTCCCCAAAGGCCCTGCCTGCAAGTGCGAACAATGCCTACTTTGAGTCAGTATGAAAAGGCACATATTTAATGTGGAAAAAATAAAACCTAAATGAATATTAGGGACTATGAGCACAATGTTAACATCTTGAGTAGGAACTATAGTTTTCAACTTATAACTGCCTTATTTCTTTCCACAAACTGGAGAAGCCTCACGTCTCTCCCTCCTTAGCGTGCATGTTACCTCTCCACAGAGACCATCAGGCCCCATTTCTCACCCGTTCAGATCTTAGTGCAGTTTGAGAACCAGCTGTGAGGAATCAGTTAACTGCTCACCACGGCAACCATCTGGGGTTGTCGGTGGCTTTAGCTCTGGAAGGCATGATTGTGTTTGGGCAAAGAAAACACAAAAAGTGCTTTTTGTTGTCAGAGAAATAAAGGCAGCCATTGGTTTATCTTCAGATTTCCATCTGGCTTATCTGAGGGGCATTTGTTTGGTAATGAGCCGAGTGATCATAAAAATTTCTTAAATTTTTCAGAGGGGGACAAAATCCAGATTACAGTGGTTCTCTTCCATTTCATCTTCAGCACGTGTTTCCACTCGCATCATTGAAAATGGTTCGCAAGCAAGCAAAAAGAATGGGAAATGCAGGTGTGTTTGCCAAAGTTTTAACAAACTTCACTCGGATGCTGCTCAAAGTTTAAGGATACTGTTTTTCAATGTTCGCTTACCAACATCAGTTAACTGAATCCTTCTCAGACCGGAAATAGCCAGTCTCACTGCTCTGTGATTCCTGTACAGTAAGTCACCTTATTAGGCTGTTGTGTGAAAGGAGCTGACTAGTGCTATTTACAAATTACTGTAACAAAACTGCAGAAACCTAAACTGCTTTAGTCTGGGGTGTCAGTGATACTTCGCGCTACATGGCAGACTGCCCTCTAATGCTCCTTACTGGCTTATGCAATCTAGAATTTAGTGCAGCAATCTTCCCGACTCTTAAACTTCAAAACCGCATAGTTATATGTAGTAGCCATCATGTAGATCAGCTGGTGGAAGAGAACAGAACAGGATAGTAAGATACAGGCCTGCGGCCGCACCCTGCTAGGCTGGGGGGCGGGGCCCAGGGGGTTCTTTTCTCCCATTTCAATCACAAGGGGAGAGATTCTCATCCCCAGCACACTTTGTCCTTCCCACGCGGAGTCCTGGGCTCTGCCCTGGTGAGTTTATAGAAGAGACTTGGGTGGCTTTGAAGACTAACCAGTGTGCAAGACCAGCAGCTTGAGCAAGAAGCCGAAGGCCATGCCTCCCTCCTCTTTCCCAGACTGCCGGCTCAGCAGCACCCTTCCTGCGTGGGGGGGCTCTGACATGAAGTGTGACTTACCCCAAGCAGCTCAGGGCTCTTGAAATCACAAACCGAGTCCTGCCAAAATGTCTGTGTATATAGACAGGCCTGTAACGTGTGACCCTCATTCACAGGGGCTGTATTGGACAGTTTGCAAAGGCTGGCCATGGAACCTCCCCATCAGCCCACCTCAAGTCTGTAAGCATTTTTAAAAATAATTATTTAGTGCAGTGTTTGTATTTGGTGATTCCACTCTGTAAATGGGCCCTGGCTGTTGTTTCTGAGGGCAGGAGAGTCTGGTGCGAAACCACCTCCACTCAGACTGGCCTTACAGTACTGTGGCACCCAGAGCAAGGTGCGTGTTGCCGGGCTGACTCTCACCTGGTCCTTCCCCGAGGGTCCGTGGCTTGTGTTTGGGGAGGGTAGCGAGCTTCACAAGGGCCATACAGAATCATGTCTGCGCGTGCTTATTTCCATTTAGGAACTTAAAATTCTCGGCGAACTCTACACCCACACCCAGCACCCAGCTCACAGTACCTACGCGTGGGGCCGGATGGAGTCGCAGCCCTGCCGTCTAGCCACAGGTGAGCCTGCACAGGCCGCAGCTAATGAACTCAGCTGTCTGCTGCAGCAGACTGGCCAGAGCTAGAGGGGAAATGCGTGGTCACGTGCCTGCCAGGGAGGGACGAGCAGCCTTGGAGCTGTGACTCACCAGGGCAATGACGGTGGCGCCCGCTCCCGCACAGGCCACGATGAACAGGTGGTAGGACATGTAGAACTAGGAGAGAACGAGGAGCTGCCGTCAGCATTGAATGTGTGAGGCTGGCTCATCTTTCTCCTACAGAGTTGCTGTGGGAAGGCTGGGTGCACCCCTTCAAGCCCAGCTCCCGAGCCTGGCCACACTGCAGTCACCGTGGGGGCGATTAATCTGTCTCAGCCAGGTGGCAGCCTGAAGTCCTGGGCTTGGCCTCTGCCGAGAATACAGCATGGTGCGGTGGCATGCAGCCACGGCCGGGAGTCTGGCAAGCCAGAGGGGCTGCGAGTCCCGTGGCACCCCAAGAGCACGGTAGGGTTCTCTGACAGGTACAGGCTCCCCTAGTACACTGAAGAATTTTCCTTTAGTAATCAGTTACAAGCGGATGCCTGAGAATAGTCTAAAAGAGATAATACGCTAAGAAATCTCTTGTCAACTTTTCTTTTCCCCTCAGATTTGCAGGCACGGGGTCATGCCCCCATGGCTCTCCCATGCACATCACTGACCAGCCCAGGCAAAGTCTGCAAAGCACTTTCCCACTAGCACTCAGCCCGCGGGGAGCCAGTACCTCGTTGGTGTTGCAGATGTTCTCCAGAGCAGAGCCACATATTCTTCCCGGGAAGGCGTTCCAGGGAATGATGCCTGAAGAGAAGCGCAGGGAGCTTCAGGGCCTGCCTGGTCCTCAACCCCTGTGGGCTCAGCCACGGCTGTCGCAATGGACATGCCCACCTTCTGCAGAACAGGCTTTGAGGACCAAGGGCCGTGTGTGGAACACTGGGTAACAGGTGAGAGCAAAGGAGCTAGATCTGAGATGCAAACGGTCTGATTTTCTTCCCTGCAAACTACACTCTGTTCAGTTGAGCTGACATTTGCAAAACTTGACTTCCAAAGGCAGGCACGTCCTACAGTGAGCTGATGAGTGACAGTTAAGCTGAAGGACGACCTCAAAATAGCCCCCATGCTGCGTGGGGTTCGGGGCCTGAGGCCTTGCCATGCTCTAAGCTCCAAAATTGGGTGTATGCTCAGAAACAGATGTGGCAGATAAGCACTGTCCTTCACCACAGAGCGGGGCAACTTAAACACAACTCAAATTATGCTTCGCCCGGGAGGTAAGGGCTCCAACAGGAACCTTCCATCCTTGCTGTGGGCGAGAAGGAAACCTTCATGGGCAAGAATGTGCCCCTGACTGACAGTGAAACCAGTGCTTTTAGGTACAGAAGGTCTACAAGATGATGACTAGTGCCCATGCTCAGGGGAGATGACCTGCATTTGTGCATGCGTTTACAAATATTAGCGAGCCTTCGCTGAGTCTCTTGCTTCTCATCCTTCATAAAGAGCACTGTAGTTCCGAGCCTTGATCTCTGAGAAGCCACTATTGGAGGGGCAGGTTTAGGCGAGGAAAGGCAGCAAAAATGAAATCACCATCTCTTGCCAGAAAGGCTCTGAAACAAGTCATGTCATCTTCAATGCAAAGGGAGAGCTCTTTTCTCCCCTTGGCAGTTGCTCCTGCCAAGAGCAGGACTGCCTGTCAGGTGGAAGCGTCAGCACAGGCCTTACTGAGGGTGCTGATGCTCACTCCACAGCCCAGTAAAGGCTCAGAGCGAATGCTCACAGGCCCATCGGCCCCTCAGGGGCTTGTCAGAATGAATCCACCTTTCTCTCCTGTGGCGAGGATTCCATTCATTCACTAGGAACCACGTCTCCACCAGTGTTCCTTCTAGATGGATGTTTTTCAGAAAGGATGAAGTTTAAGCAATAAGTCATTTAAAAAAAGAACCTAATTTGAGGAGCACAATATTACTGAGAGTGCAAAGTTGGATGGTAAGAGGAAAAGTAAAAAGTACATAACCTTTTTATAAAGTGGCTATCCAGAAATCTTTTTTTTGACTGAATTGCATTGTAAAATAGCATTCCATTATAAAGGGTTCTTTTACTACACTCTTCAACTAAGTGTCTAAGTGATGTTTCTAGCAGAAAACGAGCATTTGATGAGCATATACACTGCTCCTGCAGAGGACTGTGTACCAGTCCACCGTGAACTGGTTGGGGCCTTAAGGCCTGCTCAGGCCGAGGAGGGTAAAGGCTGTCGGGAGATGGGAGGGGGTACCGTATTGCCGGACATCCACGCAGATCTGCTCCACGCTGGCTGTCCCGTTGGTCTGGGGCGACTTGATGACCTCACAAGTGGCCCATATGTTGTGGAACATAAACACAGGCACAGCAGAAAAACCAAACACGCCCAGCCAGGCCACTCCCAGCACGTAGGTGAGGAAGACGAACTACAATGGAAACAAGGATTGTCACTAACCGGGCCAGGAGGACAAATTTCAGCGGACAACAGTCCCATGGGCTCCACCCAGGCAGGTCCAGGCGGGGGAGAGAAGCCAGGGGTGGGAGGTGGCCCCTGGCCAAAGCCGCCTCAGGTCCCCCTTTCTCAAACTGCAAGGGCCAGAGGCCCTGGCAGCTGCTCTTGCCTATCCAGATGGCTGACCAATGCGGGACTCCTGCTGCGGCCCCATGCACCATGACTTCATTTCTAGAAGCCACCTAGTGTACACAGCGGATGCTGTAACAGCAGTTGCTTCAGGAGACCCGTTCTCAAAAGGAACTTCACGGGTTTCATGGACCTGTGAAGTTACTGCGCGGTAGATCTTGGACTTTTGTTAAAAGTTTAGCCTGCATTAAAGTTTGGCCTTGAACACACTTTTAATGCACAGTGAGTCTGGTCAGTCTGTGGGGTTCACAGCAGTTCTGCCAGCAAAGGAGTGGCTCAGGGAACACAGCACGCTCGCCCACTCGTTGCCACAGGCGTTCAGGAGGCATGTAAGTAATTACTGCTAAACCTCCTGCCTTGACTACCAATTTTCAGACAGCTTTGAAAGGCTGCTTCAAAAACTGTGTGGCATTCTATTTTCAGAATGTGCGCCCACACTATGTGTGGGCGAGGGCCTGGAATTCTGGTTGGGCTATACGAAGCTGAGCTGAAGACCTGCAGACCCTCGAACATTCCCTGCCCCGGGACCTCCTGCAGGCAGGGCCCAGATGGCCTTCTGTGGGTTCCCCCAGGAAACTGCAGTGACAGGTCACTTTTCCTGTGACTTCAAGGACATGTCCCCTTCTAGAGTCATTTGCATTTCCAAAAATACTCAAAGCAGCAGATTTCAGCAGTTTCCCGCCCCCTCTCCCTGAGGCTCATGGATCAGCCACTCTAAAGTAGGGCTCCTTCTTTCTCACCCTTCAAAAGAAACATTTAACTTCCTGCCACCACCCAGGTTTGGGAAAGATCTTGGGAAGACACCCTTCCTCCCCCTCTCTCCCAGCCTCACGCCTGAGAGCTGTGTGCTTGGTGAGCCCCTGGCAGGCCCAGTGAGAGAAGGTCTCCTTGGAGGCAGGAGCAGCAGCTTGCTGGGGGGCACAACTAGCAGAGCTGACGGAAGGCCTCTCCCCAAGAACCAGGGCCATGTGTTGGACTGCCCGAGAAATTTCCAACCTTGGCATCACCACTGCCTCACCCTCGCGTCTGCCCAGCACACCACAATCTCAGCCCTGGCCTGCGGCGCAAGGCCCATCCCGGATAGCAGCGTCAGCCCCCCTGGCTTTACTGGCTCCCTGGAGTAGCCTCCAGGCCCTGCCTGGCCGATTCCTCTTCCCCAGTGAGGTGTGGGACAGCGTCCACTGCCCAGGCCTGCAGCAGCCATGCCCACCCCTCAGCCAAGGGCATGGGGGCTGAGCAGGGGCCGGGGGACTGCAGCGCCCCTTGGTCCCTCCTGAGACAAGTAGCTGCGACTGCCACGCCTGGTCTGGGTGTGGGGCTGCTGCCCTTGAGAAACACGTATGCTTGTCACAGGCCCGCCTCTGCTCAGAGAGCGGCCCTGCCAGCCACCCGAGCGGCGCTCTGGCCAGCCGGGGTGCTGCCTCGGCTTCGCACGTCCCTCACAACTCCCAAACTTTCTCCTTACACCTGCCTGTTCTGCAAATGCCAGATGGATCCGGCAGCTGCCAGAGAGGGTGCCACCCACGCCTCTTCCCTCCAGTCTCGCAGCCCAACCACCTGCCAGTGTTTCCTCTCGTGAGGCAGTGCCTCGTAGCCCTGCCACAGGGTGCCTACGCTGTGTCCAGACCGAGGGCAGCCCCCATGGCCTGCCCACAGCTGGGCGGGAGGAGTGTAGGCAGCTGCTCAGCTCTGCCCGGGCTACGTGGCCCAGGCCTTTGTCACTGAACTTCGAGTTTTCTACAAATATCATGTGCCCCGTTGGTCATGTGGGTCCCACCCCCATGACTCAAGGACAGGCCATTTGCTCATGAATCCACATGTACACTGGACTGGCCGACCCCACAAACAACATATTTCTTGAGGACAAGACCTTATGTTTCAGTCCTCATGCTCCCAGCATCGAGCCACTCCCCAGCTAGGGGCTCATCGATACTTCCAGAAAGGCACAAGAGTATCATAGCGCCTGGAAGCTTTTCCAGGCACATGCACGCCGGGGAGCATGCAGCCAATCTGACGCGCTCGCCTTTTCGGGAAACTTAGTATTTGAAAAATACCCCCATTCCCCGGATGTTGAGAAAGGACACGCGTGAGTTATTACCAGCGGCAGACAGACGAGCACTGTTGGGCTGACCTAATGTGGGGAGAACGAAGCTCTGCGTCCAGACCCCCCCGCCACGCCCCACTAGCTACCGCAGGCCCCAGCAAACAGGTTCTTGGCTTTTCCGACTCACCATCCCGCTGATGCACCGGCCGCAGGCAGTGGTCTTGAACTCCCCGTGCAGCTCCTTCACCGCGCTGGTGGTGTAGAAGCCTTCGGCCAGCAGAATGATCCCGTACAGGAAGAAGAAGGAGGCAATGCCGTAGATGACGTACTGCATCAGCTGGATCCTAGGGAGAGGAGATGGCGTCCTGAAGAGTTACACTCCCCGCCCGAGGGGAGACGGCGTGCTTGGCCCCAGAGGGAGGCCCAGAGGGTGGGGTCCTGTGACACTGCCTGTCCCCGCGGGGCTTTGATTGGCCGCCCACTGGCCAGACAGGCCCGTCTTCCCAGGTGGGCTGGGCCAGGCTTCAGCTGGGTTCCCACCCACCCAGGCTGCTCATTTCCTGTGAAGACCCTGCAGGCCCCATGCCTTAGGAGTGCTGCTCACTGGTGTGGCGCCCCGCAGCTATGGCTTCAGCATGTGATGTGTCCCTGGCACGCACCTGCCTGTTCCTGCGGGCCAGGCCCTTTCCCCTCTCACGGCCCTTCTCTCTGCACCCAGCTGGGGACCACAGCCCAGCATCCACTACTTCCTGTGGGGCGCACCGAGCTCTCTGCAGACCGGCGTGGCCACTCTTGAGGGGCGCTGTTATGGGCAGCTGCTACTTACACTTCGCTCAGCAGGGCGTGGTCACTGGCGTTGGTGGAGAAGTGCTGCTCCAGAATTGCCACGGTACCCGCCAGGGCCACATGCCCACAGCCACAGAACAAGGCCACCCCAGAGAAGCAGAGGATGGTGGCCACGAGTGAGGCATAGGGGACTCCGCCCAGACACTTGATGCAGCATTCGAAGCAGCCTGCACCGAAGGAGAGAAGGGGGGCTGTTAGCGGCAAGACGCCTCAGGTCCCCAGGAGCATGCCACTGCAGAGGAGGCACTGCTCTTCCTTCTTCCCTCCTGTCCCAATGGCAGTAATGGTGCCCGCAGGCCTGCTGGGCATCTATCTCAACTCACTTTCTGTGGGTGAGGACCTGAGGCTCTGAGAAAACATAACTTGCTCAGGACCTGGAAGGGGGGTGAGTGGCAGAGCAGCCACTGGACGGATACCTGTGGACTAAGTTCTAGAGCTTTCTGGCTGGGGAGCTGGGAGCTGATGCGCAAGGGACGGGGAACATTAAGCAGGCCACTAACAGCCAGAAGGCGAGGACAGCAGTGAAGCTGCAGTTCCATGGAAAGAAGCGAGAGGCAGGTTTGCCTGACAGGCAGCTTTTTGGGTCCCAAGGACATCGGTTTCTACAGCAATCAGTGGTTCCTGGGCCCTTGACCTCCTGGCAACCGAAGAATCCAACATAGGAGTTAACACTTGCTGGGTTCATAACAGTATCACTCTGACCAATCAGAAAGGTGGTGGGCTTCTGGTTCTTGAAGTCCAAAGTCACGAGTCCCTCTCAGTGGGTCCCCCTCAGTTTCACCCAGGTCACTGGCCAAATGGCACCCCCAGGCAGCACAATGTCTTATTCCAGGTCCCCCCTCCCCCTCCAACTTCCCCTTCCCCGCCACGCTCAGAGTGAGAACCCGGAACTGGTGACATTCAGGTAACTGAAGAGGGAAAAGGAAGAGAAGGGGAGGGGGGCAAAATGAGCATCCATGAAGTGAAATGAAGGAGAGAAAGTCACAATTCACTTTTCATCTTGAGAGGAGTAAAACTTACTCATTTTAAAAATAATCTTTCACTTGAGCTATCCAGAAAGACCTTCCTGAGGGCCAGAGCCACGTGACATTTCCAGTTCAGTGACACTCATGCAGCAGAGCTGGCCTTGGGACAATGGCGGGGCCTCGTCTGACTCCCACCCCTCTTGATATTCTCCAACCCTCAAGTAAATGGCTTGTCGGGGAACGCGGCCTCTGAATGCATTATGCGGTTGAAAGGCATCAAGAGCAGCGCGTTATTTCAAGGCAGGCCCATGAGCCAGCTGAATTTCTTCCCCCCAAATGGTCTTTACAGTAGACCAGGAACGATCAGCCAGCATGACACACGGGGTGGTTCACTAACTCACCTTCGCTTCAGCCGCCACCTGAGGAGACTAAGAACTCATCGGCAGACTAGTTAGTCTACTGGGGAACAAACTAGGCCAGGGCCCATTTCAAAAGATGACCAGCAGTTTCCATGAAGACCGTCTCCATGTAACAGAACAGGCTGCGACACGACAAAGTCTGCTGCGCCAGCACATTAAGTACCTCCAAGAGTGGCGGTCACTTGGGGATCGGAACAGGGATGGTGGGTTTGCTCTCCCTGGTCATGTGACCAGCTGGGGCTGGGGTGCAGTGGCGGCCACACCACGGCGGGCCTCCAGGCCCAAACCAAGAGAAACCAAAGCCCTCTGCCTTGATGCAAAAAAAAAACAGGCCTGCCCTCCCACCGGCCTTCTCAGCCTGTGTTAAGAGCAAGACAAAGGCTGACATGCCGCCAGCGTGATTACTGCGGTCCTGACGCACAGATGCGTCTTTGGGGCTCCGCTGTCCAAGGTCCAGCACATACGGCTGTTCTGAGTATTTTCAGTCACATCAGATTCAAACACTGGTTCCTTGCTGGTGCCGGCCACACTTCCCGTTCTCCACAGCCACGTGCGTGGTGTGTGTCTACCATGTCGGACAGTGCAGATAGAGAACATTCTCTCATGGCAGACCACAGCCTTGGAGGCGACATTCAACTTGCCACCTACTCAGTTTCCTGTCAGGTGCACAGGAGTCTGAGTTCTGCTGTGAGTTTCACGCATTCAGTACTTTCCAAAGACTGAAGGGGGCTCAGCCCTGTGCGTGCCCCGGGGATACCGGTGTAACAGACAGAGGTTTCTTTCCCTTCAAGGAGATCCGGCCAATGCTGCAGGCCAGTGGGTAACACAGTTACTCAATGCAGTATGACGAGCGCAGTGCACAGTGGGTGGAGGGAGGGGAGAGGACGGGGCAGGAGAGAATGCGGCACAGCAGGTCAGGAAAGGCTTTCCACGCAAGATGTAGGTGCAAATGACGTACGGCGGACATGGTGACAGTGACACAGAAGGTGGCCAAACGCATAGTAATTTCCAAGCATTTTGGGCTGTGTGTCAACATGCCCACATCCTCCTCATCCTGGGGCCCTTGGTGGGCATTTCTGTGCAGAGTGCACCCTTTCACAATGACGCACCCTCCTCCTCCGGCACCACTTCCCGACCATCTCCCAGCACCGACGAGAGCGCCCCTTCTCTCAGAGAAAACATCACACCTGCTCCCTCGCTCAAAAGGTCAAATGGGCTCTGGAAGCTGCTGTTGAGTCCAAATTCACCCTTAGACCGATGCTGAATTTCCCTCCAGTTTCTCTCATTCAAAGCCCTCTGGTACGCCATGTTGTGGTTGTAGTTTTGTAATGGGAAAACGGAGACTCAGGGTCGGGGGGGACCCGTTCAACGAGTCACACCCTCCCAGCAGACGCCTATGCTGACAGTTACGTGCAGCCATGCGAGGCTGGGCTGTTGTGACTGCCCACGCACGCAGGTGAGACTCTGAGGGGCCTGCAGGCCCAGAGAAGAGCACTCACGGGATGCGGCGCAGGACGCTCGCTGGCCGTGGAGCCGGCTCTCACCAGCTGACCAGCTTTCTGCTGGGCTAAAGTCTCATGCGCTATGGGCATCAATCTGTCTAGGTGGACTGCCCCACTGCCGCCTCGGTCAGTCTGGAAGCCCTCTCCCAGTGTGCTGTCAGCATCAACACTGAGCACTTGGGCCATATGCCACACACTTGTCCCAGAGAACCCAAAGCCACTGCAGCAAGTTAGTAAGAGAACTCAAATGTTGTCTCACTATGGATATCAACACTTAGCGTCTGCCCATTAAGGGCTCTGCTGACCTGACGTCAGGCAAGAGTGGTGGTGGAGACAGCCTCAGAGATGTGGCCTCAGAGTGGTCTTGTGGGCACAGGCTTGGCTTCATGCTCTGCTTTTACCATCTGGAAATTCTTCCTACATTCTGAACAGGGATGTCTGAGTTTTTCTTTGTCCTGGGCTACAAATGATGGAGCCAGTCACAGGTATGTTTACCAGGGAGGAGCCCTTTCTATGACGTTATATCCAAGTAGCCTTTTGCTTCACAGAAATACAGCCAAGGAGGCAGACACGGCCCTGCCTCACACACCGTCCTGAGTGCTGTGACTGTCAAACTGCAGCGGCGCTGGCTCCCGAGAGGGCGCGGTCACCACAGTATCCCTCACGCTGAAACCCCTGAGCTGCTGCAGAATCAGTGATCAGATGGAGCTTATAAAAGATCATGAATGAGGGGATATGGAAGAACCCACTGCAGTGGTTCAGGCAAAAGATGACAGGGGAGTGACCCAGGGGCAAGGGGCGCAAGACGCCACGGTCCGAGACTGGCCCCATGTCAAGTACATTCACTTGGTGTGGCTCGGATGGTGGGGTTAGGGGTGGTCGGCGCTGACAAGGACCACCCCTCACTGTCTAGTATGTAACCGAATGGGCTGCTGCTCCCCGAGCAAGGGCTGGCCGGAAGGGCAAAGCTTTAGAGACTTAAGACCTCGCGCTGTAGGCCTGCTGCCTTGGAGTGACTGGAAGCATCTTTTGGGAGGACAGCAGGTAGGCAGTGCGCACACAGAACTACTGGACCGCAGTGAAAACCTTCAGAGGTAAGAAGAGATGAGAGGGCCTTCCCAGTTGCCTCAGAACCCTGCTGTGCAGTGTGGCCCTGCCAGGGAGTGGCTTCAGCAGAGCCTGGGAGAAATGCAGCGCCTTGACCCCAGCTGGGCCTGCGGCATCAGAAACTGCATTTTAGGCGCCGCCCCCCGCCTGCAATCCCAGTGATTTTTGTGTGCACGAAAGTTCCAGAGGTCCGTTTCTAGTGCATAGTCTCGCTAGCTTCAGGTGGCGTGTCCCAAGTCAGGCTCAAGGGCCTGTTGTGCGGTCGGCTGGGCTTGGGGTTTTCTCCCTAAGAGGTAGCCGGTAGCATTTGGCCCAACATACCAGCCACATGCCACCCAAGTGGCAAGTTCCAGGGGATGCAGCAAAGAAAAAATGTTCCGAGCTGTCCAGATGTCTGGAAAGGAACACAACTAGCGTGATTACTCGGGGCCAAGCAAGTACCGGCTCCCTGAGGCTGGTTCAGAAGATGCGCTGGGGACAGCGCACAGGCAGGACTGAGAGCAGGATGTGGGCACCTGGGCCAGCAGAGTGCGCCGGAAGTGGCTCTGGCTGGGGCTGCCCCAGGTAGGGGCAGTCACAGGCACAGCAGATGGGTGGCTTTAAACGGGCTGATGCCAAACCACAGCAGGGGGCCACACCATTAAGGTGCCGTGTAGGAGCACGACACAGTCCCTGGACTTCTACAAAAGGCACAGGCCCAGACGGCCCAGGCTTCGAAGCCGCGCAGACGGCCTTGGCTGAGCGCGAGCTGGACATGCAGGGACAGCGGGTCTGTGGTGACAGCCATCTCCTCACATCAAAACAAAACTCAGCGTGAGGCCCTATAGCTCCCAGACTGGCGACTCAGCACCTCTCAACAGCCCCCAAGCCTCTGTTAGGTCAGTTAAAGTGTTGGCCTTCATTTAGCTGCTCTCTCTGGTTTGGATTCACACAAAACTCCTGTGGGCATCTAAAGACAGTTTAAATATAAACCACACAGTAGGGAGAAAAAACATCTATCCAACATCTCAATGGTCATTTTGTCTACAGCGTCTCTAGAACCTTTTGTGCAGAACGACAGAATAAAACGCGTCTTGTCCTGGGTGTGTGGACGGCTGTTGCCATGGCTGGCGTTTAGAACGGCCCAGGGTTTGCCCCACGTTGTCTGGATTCTGCTGCAGACTGGATGCGGCCT